ACTCTGTCTCTGGTGAGGCCTCTCACCGCCCCTGAGCCTCTGGCCTGTACCCCAGTTCTGTATGTACAAATAAATAAATCTTTTAAAAAAAATGTTCAATTTATTGTAGCTCAACTGCAGCTTAATAAAGTTGTTTAAAAAAAAAAAACAAGAAAAGGAAGAGTGAAGTACTTAAGTGCTAAAAAGAATGTGTGATAACTATGTGATTCCAATACTTGGACATTCTGGAAAAGGTCAAACAATGAGGTCAGTGAAAAGATCAGTGCTGTAAAGGTGGGAGGGGATGGTTAGGTGGGACAAAAGGGATTTTTAGAGCAGTGAAACTATTCTGTGTGGTACTATAATAAAGGCTACATGTCATCAATTATTTGACAAAACCTACGGAATAGTAACACAGAGTGAACTATAATGTAACATGGATTAGGGGAGACACTGATGGGTCCATGTATGCTCACCAACTGTAACAATTGTACTACTATGGTGGGGATACTGAGAGTGAGGGAGGAGGCTGTGTGTGTGGTAGGGCAGGAGTATGAGGGAACTTGCCATAGTTTTGCTCAATTTTTAAAAACATTTTAATGCAGTAAATATGCATAACATTTACTACTTATACCATTTTTAGGCATGTGGTTCAGTGGCATTAAAGACACCATTGTTTGCAGTCATCACCACTACCCATCTCCAGAAAGTTTCCATCATCCCAGAATGAAACTCCTTTCCACCGAATTTTGCTGGGAAACTAATGCCACTCTACAAAAGTCTATTAACTTTTTAAAGAGGGGAACATGAACTTACAGGGACAAAAAGAATGATCAAGAAGTCAACAGCATCAAAAATTTTAAAGCCAGAAAGTAGATAAAGAAGATGACTTAAAAACTGGAGTGGAAAAATTATATTAATGATAAGCATACTTAGAGCCATTCATACTTGAAAAACTTTCCACTGAAAGTCAAAAAGATTCAATGTTTCAATTATCAGTTCAGACACAATGAAAAGATGTGTCATTTCCAGTAACCTCAGCACCTATACTCTGTTGGCTTTCTCAGACCTCTCTGAAGACATCAGGTCTTCAAGGCTCAGGTATACATTTCTTTTCACCCAACTTTCCCCTCGGTAATTTACTCCAAACTTACAGTTTCTATTATGAGATGTTCATTTTGACATCTCCACTTTGGACTCCTCTTTCGAATGACAAATGTGTATTGTCAACTTCTAACTTGGAATTTTTTCTTGATGTCTCAATACCACTCGGGTTCAATGTCCCCCAAACAAAACTCATGACACATCCAGCACTGTCCCCACAGCAGATCTCCTTGCAGCATTCCCAATTCAGTGGGAGGTATGAGAGGAGTCAAATAAGACAGAGCAGGGAGCAGAGCAGGAGATTTACTGAAACATTGCTGAGGGGAGCAGCAGGCAGGTCAGGAGAGGTCTGCCGCACTATGTGGGTCACCTCTGGGGCGGGGATTGAACTGGTGCTACAGTGGCTGTGTGGACTGCTTCACAGTGCTGAGATTTAACCCCATGTGCCACCAGGGAGGCCCAAAAGTCAATCCAAACACCTCCCTTTGGCCCAATACATCAACATTTGATTTTCTACATCACTGTCAGTCAGTCCATCCACTTTGTCCACATCTCCTTTACCACTCTTAGTTCAAAGTAGGATCACCTCCCATCACTACAAATTTTTCCCCAACTGATCATTCCTTTTCATTCTAGCCTCTTCCAATTCATTTCAGACCTACAGCCAGGATATTTTCAAAATGTAAATACAATCATATTGATCCATTTCTGCTCAAAATTCATTTGCTGCCCAGAGTGCTACATGGTCTGACTCTGTCCACCCTGTCATCTTCACCTTTTAGTCACTCAAACTTGTTTCTTTGTGTTGTAATTTTCACAATGTCCCTTCAGTCTGAATGGCCTCTGCATACATTCCTTCTGCCAAGAAATCTGTTACCTATCACCTTTCAGATTTCTCCCTTCTGGGGTAAAATGTTCAAGACTTCCATCAGTAAGTTAAGTATGTCTCTTACAAACTTTCACTACATTGTGTACTCCTGTGTAGTAGCTGTTATTGTAGCAATTTTGTCTCAGTGGTTAATTAAAATGTGTTTTATCCCAGATTATAAACTCCCCAAGGCAATTACCATTATCTGCTGTGGCTAGCCCTTGTATCAACTGATGCTGGACACAAAGTAGTCATTCAGGATATATCAAACTAACAGGGGAGGAACTCAACTTTCTAAAGTTACATATGTTATATAATCATCTAAAACAGATAACATGCAACAATATGAATATATGATGACAAATAACTCAAACACCAAAGAGTATATGTTGTGTGGTTCCACTTATAAAATATTCAAGAATAGGAAAAATGAATTGATGGTACTTAAGTCAGACCCATGGCTATTTTTCGGGCAAGAGGTTTTACTGATTAGGGAGAGGAAAAAGTCATTTGGGTGCTAGAAATGTTCTGTGTCTTCATCTTTGAGGTGGTCATATGTATGTGTATACACACACATAATATACACAACACACACACACAAATTCATTACTATTTTTAGTATGTTTTTCTGTGTGTGTTTTATCTCAATGAAAGGGAAAAAAGGCATTTTGGAAATAAAAAGAAAAAATCTAAGTATCAATGAGAAATATAACAGCAAAATTTTGATTAGTTAAATAATCACCTTGCAGAACATGACATATATTTTGCTCTTGATTTGGTGAAACTACACACACATACATACACACTCTGTCTCTGCAAGTAACAGAAAGCCTATTCAGACTAACTTCAGCCAAAAAAATTGCTTAGTTACACATACCTGGAAAGCACCTAGATCCACAAACTAATTTTGACTAAGGACTTGAATAAATTCTCCAGACCCTTCAAAGGCTGAAAATAATTACGGCCTCACTCAGAGATGACTGTGAAAATAGCAAGATCACTCTTCTTAGAGTGCTAGAACCAGGGCTGGTTAGGTTTCAAATGAGTTTTTTTGAGCTTCATCAAAAACACTGTGGGTCTATACGTGAACACCATCCAATGAGAAAAGCCATAACAAACTGTAGTTTTCAAGCTCAAGTACCAGTTAGTTCTAAGGCAAACAGACTGAATCTCTGAAGTGCAGGCATCTGAACTGCCTCTTAGCTGGGCAACTCTACATAGCACACTACAAAGGGAACAGCAATAACCTACTCAATGATATTACTAATTCTCAACTAACCACAAAAAAAACTTAGCTAGCTACATGCAAATCTTTCAACAACATGAGGCTGACAAGAGTTCAAGGCTTCAAAATACGAAAGTATGCCCTAAATCACATTGAATCTGAAGACTTCTTAAATTCATAGGCAATCCTTAATTTGAATATGTTAGGTAAAAGTTGAAGATAGTTATATAACACCAAATTTATAGCTAACATGTTTTCAAAATACTTAGAAGTACTAACAATCAGGTATGTTTTATATGCCCCAATGTGCCCCCCATTTTTACATTATATTGAGGTAACACTGACAACACTGTATGCTCAAGGGGTATAGGTTCATATCTCTACAAATATATGTTCTCACACAGCTCACCACCAATCATCTACCAACATAGTCCACTGAACCACTCCCCACTTTGCTCCCTCCCCACCCCCTTCTGTCAGATTTCAAAGCTTTGCTTTTATGTGTTCCTTTGCATATTGCATGAGTAAAGTAACTGGTATATATCTTTCTCCTTCTGACTTACTTTGCTTAGTATAATCCCTTCCAGCTCCATCCATGTTGCTGCAAATGGCAGGATTTCATCTTCTTTTTAATATAAGCTGAGTAGTATTCCACTGTGTATATATATAACATCTTTTAATCCACTCATGTATCATTGGGCACTTAGGCTGTTCCCATAGCTTGGCTATTCATAGTGCTGCAATGAACATAGGAGTGCATATATCCTTTGAAATTAGTGGTTTTATATTTTGGGGGTAGATACTTTGGCACAGAATTGTTGGATCATATGGTAGATGTATTTGTGACATTTTGAGAAACCTCCATACTTGTATACATAGAGACTGGAGTAGTCTACATTCCTATCAACAGTATACAAAGGTTCCTTTTTCTTCACATCCTTGCCAACAATTATTCCTGTCCTTACTGATAACAGCCATTCTCAGGGGTGTGAGGTGGTATCTCACCGTGGTTTTGATTTGCATTTCCCTGATGATAAGTGATGCTGACTAATTTTTCATGTGCCTTTTGCCTTCTTTGAAAAAGTGTCTATTTAGCTCTTTTGCCCATTTTTTGACTGGTTATTTGCCAAATATTTTATTCTTTTAATCAGTCAAAGAACATGAGCACCTATGATGCAGACTGAACCATGAGAAAATGTTGGTATTTGTCTATTTCTGACCCACAAAAGAACAGCATTTTCATATGATTCACCCAAAACCAGACACTGTTCTAGGTGGTTAAGATGTAACAGCGCATAAAACAAATTCCTACCTCTATGTGGATTTACATTGTGTGTGTGTTAGCAGAAGAGTGTGGGAGAAGTGGCAGATAACAAATACATAAGCCACTGCAAGGCAGATCAGATAGTGCTACATACTCTGGAGAACATGAAAAGTTAAGAGAGAGAGAATGGTTGCTGCTTATTTTATAAAAGTGGTCAGGAAAGACTCCACTGTTTAAAATCCTAAAGAAAGAGAGAGTAAGCCTTTTAGGTTCTTTTACATGTCACAATCTGGTTGCTAATATGAAAATTTTTGCCAACCTTATGCCAGAAAAACATAAGAACAAGTAATTCTGCTAAACTACTATTAACAATCATCGCCCTAATTAAATTTGCAACCAGGCAATCAGTACCTAAGCCAGTCAAAAATCATCACTGCAGCTTACAGTTCTTATTCCAAATGCACCACATGTCTCATGTAAGCACTTTTCAGTACATGCTTTCAATCTAGTAAATATTCATATATACAAAACATACAATAAGGTCAGCTATTTATTCTTACATCTTTTGAAGAACCTGGGCCATCACAACCCCATTCGTTAAATCTTCCACAGTCTGGCATGGTGCATCCACATTAAATGTCTGGATCTGAGGGGAGAAAAGATTCTATGGTTAACTGAATAAAAAATTTGTCCCATTTCTTTGGTGATTATATCATCTTGGGAATTGTTCTAAGTTTTGAAAAACATTTTCTTTTCCCTTTTTAGGAAACTTCCTGCAGGTTATCACTGTAATCTTTTCCCTTTGGTAAAGAGAAATTGTGGTGGGCACAGGGTGTCACCCAGCATTCATTCTCCTCAGCGATGATCAACAGGAGAGAGTCATGGTAACTTCCTTCCCTCTTCTGGTTACTGTCTCAGGGATGTACCAATTACTTTGTTCAGGTAAAGACAATTTGGACAAAGCAATGCTTACTTGAGCTTCTGGGAAAGAAAATTCCAAAAGTCTGTTTTATCTAATATGGACAAGTATGTTGCCTTCAATGTCACTAGCAGTCACTTATGACTACTAAGGGAACAAATCAGTATTAGGATG